AGAAGCTGCTGAGCTGAGTTCATGTTGGGCCACTAGTGCACCAGTGCCCTAGCTCAAATCACAAAAGAGCTAAAGTTACCAAGAGCTGTGATCACTGAGGCTGTGTTAACTAGTGGGGGAGCCTGAAGCTATATTGCTGAGAGGTAACAGGGGGCCCTGTGGCACCTTTGAGACTAACAGAAGTATTGGGAGCATAAGCTTTTGTGGGTAAGAACCTCACTTCTTCAGATGCAAGTAATGGTCCATTACTTAAGTGAGGTTCTTACCCACGAAAGCTTATGCTCCCAATACTTCTGTTAGTCTTAAAGGTGCCACAGGACCCTCTGTTGCTTTTTACAGATTCAGACTAACACGGCTACCCCTCTGATATATCGCTAAGCGGCTGGCAGAGCAGTTTGCGGGGACAGCTGGCAGAGCAGCTAGCAGAGTGGAGCCTTGTGGGGATGGTTGGAGCGGAGCTGAATGGCTCTCAGGTCGGTGAGCGGAGCGGAGCGGCTGGAGGAGCAGCTAGCAGAGCAGAGCGGAGCCTTGTGGGAGCGGCCCAAGGGACGGCTGAAGTGGAGCAGAGCTGAGCGGCTCACAGGTCGGTGAGTGGAGCGGAGCGGAGCAGCTGGCAGAGCAGTTTGTGGGACGGCAGAAGCCGCTCACGGGACAGCTGGTGGAGTGGAGCGGCTCGTGGTGAAGGCTGTGGCGGAACCCCACGAAAAGGCAGCCGGTCGGCCTCGGATCATGTAAGGTGCCCCTTAACACCCTGCGCGCCCCCCCCCCCCTTGAACTCTGGGGCTGCACTGACCAGGGACAGAGACTTCGAGGGGTTGTTGGACTTTTGGGACTTTGGTGATTCTTGGGTTGCTGGTTTCAAGAACCAACGGGAAAGGACACGGCCCAATCTGCTGGGGTGGGTCTTCGCTCATGGTTTGGACTATGAACTCTAGTTGTGGTGTTTTCCCAATTTAATGCTATGTCATTTACCTCATGTTATTAAACATTTTCTGCTAAACCGAGGCTCTGTGCTTGCAAGAAGGGAAGTATTGCCTCTTCGAGGCGCCCAGGGGTGTGTGTAAGATTTTCCCAGGTCACTGGGTGGGGGCTCGAGCTGGTTCTGTGTCACGCTGTTGGGAAGCGACCCCTATGTACTGAACCCGGCCCTTGCTGCTATCAACTGGCCTGGCAGAAGGGTTACACTAGTGACGGAGGATGTGGAAAAAGCTAATGTACTCAATGATTTTTTTGCCTCTGTCTTCACGAACAAGGTCAGCTCCCAGACTGCTGCACTGGGCAGCACAGCATAGGGAGAAGGTGACCAGCCCTCTGTGGAGAAAGAAGTGGTTCGGGACTATTTAGAAAAGCTGGACAAGCACAAGTCCATGGGGCCGGATGCGCTGCATCCGAGGGTGCTAATGGAGTTGGCGGATGTGATTGCAGAGCCATTGGCCATTATCTTTGAAAACTCATGGCGATCGGGGGAGGTCCCGGATGACTGGAAAAAGGCTAATGTAGTGCCCATCCTTAAAAAAGGGAAGGAGGAGGATCCGGGGAATTACAGGCCAGTCAGCCTCACCTCAGTCCCTGGAAAAATCATGGAGCAGGTCCTCAAGGAATCAATTCTGAAGCACTTGGAGGAGAGGAAAGTGATCAGGAACAGTCAGCATGGATTCACCAAGGGGAAGTCGTGCCTCACTAACCTAATTGCCTTCTATGACGAGATAACTGGCTCTGTGGATGAGGGGAAAGCAGTGGACGTGTTATTCCTTGACTTTAGTAAAGCTTTTGATACGTCTCCCACAGTATTCTTGCCGCCAAGTTAAAGAAGTATGGGCTGGATGAATGGACTGTAAGGTGGATAGAAAGCTGGCTAGATCGTCGGGCTCAACAGGTAGTGATCAATGGCTCCATGTCTAGTTGGCAGCCGGTTTCAAGCGGAGTGCCCCAAGGGTCGGTCTTGGGGCCGGTTTTGTTTAATATCTTTATTAATGATCTGGAGGATGGTGTGGACTGCATTCTCAGCAAGTTTGCAGATGACACTAATCTAGGAGGCGTGGTAGATACACTAGAGGCTAGGGATCGGATACAGAGGGACCTAGACAAATTAGAGGATTGGGCCAAAAGAAATCTGATGAGGTTCAACAAGGACAAGTGCAGAGTCCTGCACTTTGGACGGAAGAATCCCATGCACTGCTACAGACTAGGGACCGAATGGCTAGGTAGCAGTTCTGCAGAAAAGGATCTAGGGGTTATAGTGGACAAGAAGCTGGATATGAGTCAACAGTGTGCCCTTGTTGCCAAGAAGGCTAACAGCATTTTGGGCTGTATAAGTAGGAGCATTGCCAGCAGATCGAGGAACGTGATCATTCCCCTTTATTTGACATTGGTGAGGCCTCATCTGGAGTACTGTGTCCAGTTTTGGGCCCCACACTACAAGAAGGATGTGGAAAAATTGGAAAGAGTCCAGCGGAGGGCAACAAAAATTCCCCATTTTTCACACTTGCTGTCTGGTCACCCTAGCCTCGCCCAAGCCACCCCCTTCCCTCCATCGCTCACTCTCCCTCACCCTCGCTCATCTTCACCGGGCTGGGGCAGGGGTTTCGGGTGCTGCAGGGGAGGGTGAGGGCTCCGACTGGGGGTGTGGGCTCTGGGGTGGGGCCAGGGATGAGGGGTTTGGGGTGCAGGAGGGGGCTCCAGGCTGGGGATAGGTGTGGCATCTGCGTGCAGCCAGAAATGAAGTGTTCAGGGTGTGGGAGGGGGCACTGGGTTGGGGCACAGAGTTGGGGTGCAGGAGGGGGTGAGGGCTCTGGGCTGGGGGTGTGGACTCTGGGCAGTGGTCAGAAATGAGGGGTTCAGGGTGCGGGAAGGGGCTCATGGCTGGAACAGGGGTTTGGGGTGCAGGAGGGGTTTCAGGATGTGGCCTCCAGGTGGCGTTTACCTCAAGTGGTTCCCGTGAAGCTGCCAGCGTCTCCCTCTGGCTCCTAGGCAGAGGTGCAGCCAGGGGCCCTGCGCACTGCCCCTACCTGTAGGCGCCGCCCCCTCAGTTCCCATTGGCCATGGTTCCTGGACAACAGGAGCTGGTGCTGGGGAAGGGCAGTGCAAGGAGCCCCCATGGTAACCTGAAAACCGACGCCTGCAACCCTGAGCTGGGCATGGCCCCGGGCGTCATTATTCCATGACCTGGCAGTAAATACAAACCCGCTGCTGGTCTATGGGGCAGCTGGCCTGAGGGGGTGAATAAAGAGGGCAGGGTAGCCCCACAGCGACCGGGTCTCTGGCTCAGCTGGGCCCCCTGCACCCCATTGCGTTATAACCTGGCCCTGGGCAGGGCCCCCCCAGGCCCCGGGCGCAGGCAGTCCCTGCAGGCTGGGGGCTCCAGGCAGGGTACTGGGGTCGGCGCGAAGCAGCCAGACTGCGGGAGCCCCCGGCACGATCCGGCCCCAGCAGGGCCAAGGGGACCCAGGTGCGTCTGGCCCAGAGCCCTGCAGGGCTGGGCATTCACTGCTGCCCCCTGCTGGCGAAGTGT